ATAATAATAATAATGATAATAAATTACCTTCTCTGCGGCTCGGCCAATCCTGGAAGTCAACCCTCTCGTCAATGAAGGGCACGCCGCCAGCGTGCAGAGTCAGACGGATCAGCTCTCCTCTGCCTCGGATGTTGAAGTAAACCAGTTTAATCTTGGGCGCCATCTTTTAAAAGAAGCATTGTTGTGAGTTGTCATGAATAAAGAAGGCTGTGCAAGATAAAAACAAGGACAAAGCTTACGCAACAAACCCTTCAATTCTAAGAATTCGCAAGAAAACTTTTGGGGATTTGTTTCAGTTTTTCTAAATAAAAAAGGATAAAAGATACCTCGCAACCATTTTCAGAAGAGAAAGTAGATCTATATTAAGTTTTGAAAAAGCATTTTAACTCAACACTCTTCCTTCAAGGTAGGCCTTAACACGTTTCCATCTCGAAATGGAGGATTTTAGGTTAGTTTAACTTGCAGTTGAGCTTTTACGGCGCTCGCAACTGCATAAGGTCATATGAGCGCCAAGGGGTGGATGTCAACAGAGAAGTCCATACAGGGAATCAGGCTTACTCTGCTCACCTCTCTAGCTTCAACAGCACAAAGTCTGTTTCGACTATCAAGGCAACTTGGAAATAGCGGGTCACAAGAGTGTGACAAAAATACAAAAGAAGTGGAGGAAAACTGACGATAGTAAGGATTAGGAAAGAAAAAAGCAACAGTTCCCTGTTGTAGTTCAGGCAGTTATGACCATGACATTGATGTATCAGCCAATTTATGATTTTATTATGCATAAGAACATAAAGAACATATTAATGCTCCCCCCCCCCTTTTTGGGAATGGCCTAAAGACACCTCAGTCAGTAGCACCGCCCCCGGGGGTAAGTGGAGGATTGTTTTAACTGCTATATATTGAACACACTTTTTGTAACTTATTTTAAGATTAGGCAGGTACCACGCAACACTGTCTAACACAAGGTAGGCCATCATCATCATCATCATCATCGTCATCATCATCGTCATCATCATCATCATCATTTTGTTACTTTACTTTACTTTTTTACTTTTACTTTTTCATCCTCTGTTGCCGTCAAGCGTCGAGGGGAGATGCAGTTTTCTATGGTAGGTTAACTCCGCAGATCTTTCAGTTGTGATGTTATGTTTTCTTAGGGTTTCCTTGACACCCTCTATCCACCTTTTGGGTGGCCTTCCTCTTTCTTTATAGCCTGAGTGCTTTGTGTTGTATGCTCTCGAGGTTGGCTGGTCTGGTGACATGCGTAACAGGTGGCCAAACCATTTTATCCTCTGTCTTTCTATGTAACGCAGGCAGGACTGAGTGCCGATAGCTGCTCTTACTTCTTCATTTCTCTGCCTGTCTCGTCTTGTGATCTTATTTTGTTATCATTATTGTTACTATTACTCTTATTATTTATTTTATTATCAATATTTTATTGCATTCTATTTTTATTGCTTCTTAACTATATTATACTCCATGCTAATGACATACAACTTCTCGGGCGAACTAGGTTCTAAATAAGTACCAACGCGATCCTTTCGTTCAGTCTTATAACTTATACATTATATTTGAATCAGATTCACAATTTTGAAAGAGACCTGCAAACAACAACAATAACAGTAGAGCTACTACTAAAAAAACCCGGTAGAAATCAGAACCTAAATCTCAGAGGAGGAGGAGGAGGAGGTGGAGAAGGAGGGGGGAAGAGAAGGAGGTGGTGGAGGGGGAGAAGAAGGAGAAGGAGAAGGGGGAGGATCATGTTGACATTCAATACCAGCAACCCGGAAATGAAATCGACATTGGCAAAATTAGCTCTGTCACATAATTACCTTCGGTTAATTTCAACACTTGTTTTGTAATGGTCCCCTCTTTGAGAACACAGCAGATTTCAGCTTCAAAACCTTTTTCTTGTTTTCTGAATATTCTGAACACTAGGATGCATTATCTTCCTTGTCAAGCACCGCATCACCGGTTTTGAAACAAGACATCTTAAGGGACAATTTGAATCACAATAATTACCAGATTCTCAACAAGTGAAACGATCAAAGATATCCTCACAAATTTAAATTATTGCTTATAATTAATTGTATTATATGCTCCTAATTGAATCAACTTCCAAAGTGTCACTACCCTCTATGAAACACACACGTCTCTCTATTCAAACGGCCAACCCCTCATTGACAGTCAGGCGAGATCTTAATAGTTGAACACACTTTGTGATCTGTCGAAATCGAAAGTAACGCTACGGCTTCATTCAACAGATAGGCCTACGTTAATTGCCAACTACATGGTCTACCATGGAGTAACAATGTTGAATCGCTGCTCGCTGCAAGTCGAACTGTTTGACCACGACATTATAATGGCAACGACTGCAAGCCACACTGAGAACGGCTAGAGGTTTGTTCTATATTTAGCATCGCTGTAATCCTCGTCTGGAGCCCACGTCCATGTTTTGTCAGGAATCAACAGAGTGACCAGGACAGTGTCAAACTTACCACAGAGT